CATCAGCACTGTCCCCCGGCCTCCATCAGCCTTTCCCCGGCCTCCATCAGCCTCTCCCCGGCCTCCAACAGCCTGTCCCCCGGCCCCCATCAGCCGGTCCCCCGGCCACCATGAGCCTGTCCCCCGGCCCCCATCAGCCGGTCCCCCGGCCTCACCTTAGCGGCCCGGAGCAGCTCGGTGGCCCTCAGCCGGACCTCCTTCAGCGGGCAGGAGGTGGAGAGCCGGAGCAGGTGCAGCAGCGTGTGTTTGCCGAGCCGGGCCGTGCCGGGCCGGTCCAGGCCCAGGCACGCCAGCACCTTCCGGCTCAGCTCGTCCAGAGCCGCCGTCCGCTCCTCCTCGTCCCGGCTGCAGAGCCGCGCCAGGCTCTTCGCCGTCGGCCCAACGCCGAACTCTGAGTCCCCAGAACCGGGGACCGGTGCCAGTTTCTCCGTCTCCCCGGGCTGGAGGGTCCGGTCCTCCGCGGGATTATTGGCCATTACCGGGTCCTCCTGGGGTCGAGGCGACGGTTAAGCTCTCTAAAGGGGAATCGTCAGCATCGGTTCAAACGTCCGCCACTTTCTTCTGAGAACCGGGAGCACCGAGCAGCCGCCCGCGGAGCAGCTAGCGGCTCTGCGCCCTCATCTCCGGTAAAACCGGCCACCGGACAGCTTCCAACGGCCGCCGGTTAGCTAGCCGCGCTAGCCGCGAGATGCTAGCTGCGAGGCGGTTTAACGGATGGCTGACAGCGGAGCTCATCCACCGGGAGCCCCGCCAGACGCAGGTCTGCGTTACGCCCGGACCCCCTGAGGACGGCAGACTCTGAATTACGGTTATAATCGGCGTGCAGGAGGCTCCGGGAGGGCTTTTTTCTCGGCGTTTCCCTCCGCTGCTCCTCTTCAGACGCCGGTGAGACTCCTGGGCTACGTCACCGTGACGTCAGAGGAACGTACCACCGATAAGCGCCGCGGGGGGGGGGGCGCTGAAAAGGTGACGGCCCCCAAAAGAGGGCGGCTGCGGCACGAGGTGTGCTACACCGACAGTAAACACTCTTTTTTATCAGGTTTTACGCCGTCATCCAGACCAGGGAGTCTACGGGCCTCCCTGTAAGCAGACAGGTGAAGAGCCGGGCGGCTTAAAACCCTCCGCGTGCACACCGTCCTGTGGTTGTTTTGTTATCAGGACGAGTTTGTGTCCGCTTTAACAATTAAGTAATAGTTTGTTTACTGTCAGTGTGGTTTTATATCTCTGAATGTCAATGTAGGGTTTAGCTGCACCTAAAACAAGCAGGCCAACTAAAATCATTTTAAAAAGGTCCAATTATAAAATAACCATAAATATTTAACCATACAAACCTGTATATTAGTTACACACGCTATAAAAACTGCTGTGAAAGTCACTTCTAACATGTTCCTTATAGCTTAATTCTGAATTCAGTTGTACATTGTACCACATTGTTAAACTGAATTTTCAACAGTTGACAGATCAGCAAACGCCACAAACCTTTGATGGGTACTGACTCAGCTTTACTTCAATACTCGATTAGATCGGTATTTTTTGCTGTCATTCAGCTCATTCATAGCCAGACTCACAACTTTTACATTTTCCAAAAAACGAAATTCCTTTAATGAGAGTAAGTCAGTACTTAACTATGAATGTATTGTATTGTATTGTAGTTGAGGTGGCTCGGGCATCTGATCAGGATGCCTCCTGGTCGCCTCCCTGGGGAGGTGTTCCGGGCTCGTCCCACCGGGAGAAGGCCCAGAGGAAGACCCAGGACCCGCTGGAGGGACTATGTGTCCCGGCTGGCCTGGGAACGCCTCGGGATCCCCCCGGAGGAGCTGGCCGAAGTGGCCGGGGAGAGGGAAGTCTGGATTTCCCTGCTCCGGCTGCTGCCCCCGCGACCCGACCCCGGATAAGCGGAGGAGAATGGATGGATGGATGGATGGATGTAATTGTATTTATAACTTATGTACAATGTTTCTGCCACTTTAACGTTAAAGGTTATGCTAATAAAAAGTGTCTCTTAAGATCATCTGTGGCTGAAAAAGTTATCAATATAAATTACACGCATGTGCAGTTGTGCTTGAAATCTTAATCTCACTTTTGATTGTTTTACCATTTAATTTACATACCAAAAAATGTATTTAGGATAATATACAATGTAGGCAAATTGGCAGACATAAGTCTCATATTATGTGTATATGTATTTTTTGTGGTTCTTAGGAGAGTTGAAGGAAAAAAGGAATGTCATTCAAATAAACAGTGGTGCTGGGCTCCGTTTAGCCCTCTGGGGCTTCAGGAACCTCAAAAATGTGGCAGAAGAAAAAATAAAAATAAACCTTCTGTGTACCGTCACCGTTTCCCTATGAGGGAAGACTTTTATTAACAAACACACAAGTAGGATTTGGAGGATGACACACACACACATTAAGATATGGCTCCCGTGGCAACAGGCGGTTTCTGTCCCAGGAGACAGAAGAGGAAAAAAAGGAGGAGGAGAAAAGAGCTGGTTTTGGAAAGTTCAGGGTAGGAGCAGAAATGTGGGTTCACACACACATAGAGGTTCCTCTTCGATCTTTTACTGGAAGTAAAACAAAATATTGTGTGTGTGTGTGTGTTTTTGGGTGTTTGGATGAGGAGAGATGGATCCGAGTCCTCAAACGATTTTGTTCTCCAACAAGGCGATCCTCTTGGACATACTCTCGAGTGCATTTTTGTCAAGGTAATAAACAGAAAAGACAGAAAATTAAAGAGACAGGAACTTAAGATGACAACTTTTTTTTTTTTAAATCCCACAAAATATTGAATCCTAACAGTTTTATCCAACAAAAAAAGGATATTTTTCTTCGTTAGTGCCTGAAGGGCAGCATCCACTTTCTCCTGGAACTTTACAAGGGAGTCACATTCACAGGGGTCATCTTCAGGGGGACCAAGAAAACAGATTCAGTTTATCCTCATCAGCATCCACATTGCAACAACATCTCCTCATGCTTTTCTTTAGTGGAACTTTCTGACCTTTACAGATGTTAATCTGCAGCTTCTTGGCAATGTGGGTCATGGCCTTGAAGTCAGCAGTGTAGAAGTAGTGCTCTCCGGTTGGCTCAGAGGCGATCTCTTTCAGTTCGTTCTCAACAGCATTACCGACTCCAACAGCATACATCTTAAAACCTGTAGCGCACACACACACACACGAATATGCAGCATATTCTTCTAAACTAGCCTGGAGGACTACTGTACACTGTGAGAGTTGGAGGTCGCCTTGGCTCTGATTCTTACCGCTGTCCTTCGCCTTCTTAGCTGCCTCTCCGATATAATCCTGGCTGCGTCCGTCTGTGAAGACGATGCCCACCTTGGTGACTCCGGGCCGGGCTCCCTGACCGATAGCGAAGCTGTTGTCTACCAGAAAACGGAGGGCCTGTCCGGTCATGGTTCCCCTCTCCATGTAGGCCATCTTCCTCACGGCTTCTTTGAGGTCTTTCTTGTTGTTGTACCGACCCAAGGGGAACTCCTGTGAGGGAGGAGGATCAAATAAGAGGGCTGGGAGAGGTGGGCCTCACTGCGGAGCCACGGAAAACCAGCCCCACCTGTTTGACGGAGCTCGAGTACTGCACGAGCCCAACGTGGGCTTTGTTTTCGGACACGTCCAGCTTGTCGATGATCTGGTTGATCCACTTCTTCACCAGCTCGAAGTTCTCGGGTCGGACGCTCTTGGAGCCGTCGATTACAAACACGACGTCCGTCGCAGCGTTGCTGCACGGTGCTAGAGAAAAGAGGGGGAAAAAAGGAGGACAGAAAATAACACGGGCTGATTTTAAAGCGTCGGTTCGGCCGTCTCAGTGGGCCGAAAACCCTCGGGGACACACACACTCACCACTGCAGCTGCGAGCGTCATCCATGAGGGTAAAGCCGTCTTTGCAGGCACACTTGTAAGATCCCGGGGTGCTGATGCATACCTGCTCACAGTCGTGATCCCCGGTGGCACACAGGTCCGACACTGTGTGTACGCGTGTGTGCACAACACACACACACACACACACACACACACACACACAAGGGGAGGGGGTTAGGAGGAGAAATGGAGCTATGTCAAACAGGAAATCCCACCACGGGGTTTTAAGGATCCACTGTAACCTGCAGCTGAGCTCAGCAGCTTTTCATGAGCGAGGGAGGAGGCAAGGCTCCAGTGGATCCTTAAAACAAACAGGTTAGAAGAGCTTGGAGCAGCCGTCAACAAAATCTGATTTGTTTTCCGCTTCTAAACGCGACGCGCAGGCTCGTCCAAGTCCATGCAAAACCAGTGCAGTGAGACTGGGAGCTGCAGACCCGGAGCGTCGGAGGGCTGCGCTAATTAAAGGGTTTAATAATTGTCGCTAATGGATGTTTAATTACAGTTAGATCAGTCTCGCTTCTCAGTCGTGAGAGAGTCGACTGAAGGACAGGAGCAAATCTCGTTCCAAAAGATTGTTTTCGGCCCTGATGTCCTCACGCACTGGAATTTTTTAAATGACTGGATGGATGTGAGGGTAGAGGACAAAAGGGAGGACAATAAATTGGAAGTAAAGATAACCGTCCTGACACCTTACCCTCAGTATGGGGGGCAGCAGACACTTCTCCACAGGGATGGAAGCATGGATAACAACTATCCTACTGTGACTTTGACTCCACGTAGCCACGACTAAAGTCTCATCTCCGCCTCTGCCTCTTTTATACAGGAACCAAAAGTGGACAAGTATCTCTACTCCTCAGCCCTCTTACCACAGAAGGCCTCCTGGAACTTCTTGGTGAGCTTCTCGATGACTTTGTAGCTCTCAACGTAGTCCACGTGATCGTCCAGGGGATCGCTGGCCATCTGCTTCAGGGTGCTCATGTCAACGCGTCCCACTCCGATGGCAAAAATCTCGATGCCGGCGTCCCGGGCCCGCAGAGCCACGTCCTTCACGTTGTCCTGGGGACGCCCGTCGGTCACAACAATGGCCACCTGAGCCAGCAGAGGAGCAGAGCGGGACACTAAGTCGGGTTTGTGGTGGACGGGGATTTGCTGGTTCTGAGAGGGTGAAAAACGCCGGATGGACCTTGCTGATGTCGGGGGATTTGGCCCGGGCGCCTTCGGCCTCGCTGAAGGCGACGTTCAGGGCGAACTGGATGGCGAGGCCGGTCATCGTCCCGGTGGACAGGGGCTCGATTTTGGTCACGGCTCTGACCAGCCCGGCTTTGGTGCGGTGGGTCTTCAGGGACACCTGGAATCGCAGAGCGGCGCGGTGAGCTGGCACCAGCGGTAAAACAGAGGCGGGTAAAAAAAAAAACATCTGCATCAGGCCCTGACCTCGTTCTTCACGCGGCTGGCGTAGTTGACGACGCCCACGCGGGTGGCGTTGGGTCCAACATCCAGCCCCTCGATGACTTTGGCCAGAAACACTTTTACTTGCTCGAACTCCGAGGGCCGCACACTACGGCTGCTGTCTATGATGAAGACCAGGTCTGTGGGGCGGGTCTTGCACAGACCTGCCGCTACGCACCGAGAAACACACAAACGATCATTTATATTCTTAGAAAAATGTACATTTAATACATTCAGAGACAACAAATCAGGATATCCTCTAAAAAATGTGAATGGAGATAAAGAAAAAGAGAAAAAGGAGGTAGGTGTGGGAGGAGCTAAGGGAGAATGGGAGGAAAAGGGGGAGGGCAAACGGGAGATAAATACGAGTGGATGGAAAGAGAGAACAGAAAGCACAGAGAGAAGGAAAGTTACAGATGTAAAGAGGACTGTAACCCTGTCATGAGCCTGTTAATTAATTTGATTAACACAAATTTGAGCAGAAATTTCTTCTGAAAAGCCTAAAATTCAAAGCAGAAAACACCTGATGGAGAAACAAACCATCACGTTTTACGTTAGGGAAAAGAGAAACAGAAGAACATTGATGGACTTTTTTAACTCCTGGTGAACTAAAACCTCCAGCATTTGATGGAAATCAATGATTTCCCTTCACACCTCTCACCCCATTCCCTTCGATTTAAAACAAAAATTTCTTATTGTATTACAATCTCAAAAAACACAGGAATGTATAATAAAAGCAGGAATGATCCAAAAAGTGTGGGTACACTCTAAAACTTGGCTTCAAAAACCACAACTGACCGCCACACTAATCAGTCCGTCTGTAGATGCCCACAGAAAGTACTCAGACCTGTAAAACAGGGCTGAGTATTGTTTTAACATGAACTAAATCAAAGCATTCAGGCACATATTTCAACTCCTTTCATGCTTTTCGTGAATTTCTAAACTAGAATGGGAGCGTGTGGCTATTCTCCTCTGGGGTTTGGCTCAAGATTTAGGGGCTTAAAAAGAAATCCTTACCCATGGCGGCGGCTGTGCGGAGGTCTAAGGTGGTCTGGGCTCCCACGAGGCCGAGCAGTAGCAGGAAAAGCGGCGGGGAAGGCGTCATGCTGACAGCTAGAGGCGGGGGTCCGAGCGCGGCCGCAGACGGTCCTACACAGAGAAACAGAAAGGAGACAGAGCCGGGCGCAGGGAGTTCCGAGAGATGGGGACGGCCACAAAGTGAGACCAAGTCACTCTGAGCTGCAGGTTATCAATGCAAGAGCTTCACACACTCAGCCCACAAACAGCCCTCCCCCCCCCAAAAAAAAAAGCCCAGACCCCGGCTACAGAGCATCTGGTGTAAGTGTGCGCGTCTGTGGGAAAGAGAGGGAAATACCTGCTCTGGGAGGGCCTAAAACGGAGAGCGGGGAAAGACAAACGCACCTTGATATGGCTGCTATGGGCAGGTAAGTGCATGTGTGTGTGTGCGTGTGCGTGTGCGTGTGCGTGTGCGTGTGTGTGTGTGTGTGTGTGTGTGTGTGTGTGTGTGTGTGTGTGTACAGTAGGTGTGTGTCTGGTCGGGGGTACAGGAGCGACTGGGGTTTGGTGCAGCCAACGCCGCTGCCCCCGGTTTGGATTTGGCCAGAGCTCAAATAAACACCAATATGAATTCCCCTTTTCTCTCCGTGTTCCCTTGTATAGCAAACACACATTTATGGGGCGGAAGTGGAGCCGAGCCTCCGCACACAGCCCGCAGTGTTCCCATAAGGCCGCGTGCGGGGAAATGTGTGCGCATTCCTGTTTAAATTGGAGTATACAAGCCACTTCCTGGCCGCCTCAGATACAGTCAGACAAAAATGACGAGTATCAATATCAGATTTTTCCGTTATCGAGTTTCATTTGTTCTCTTTTAACACGTAAAAAATCATCATCTTATTTCAACGGGGTTTTAACAAATTGCAGATCATGTGTAAAAGGAAAAGGATGTGAATTAAAGAGGATCAGATTTTCTGTTTGCACCTTTTTTCCTGTCTCCATCGCTCAGTGTCAGGTAGGCAGAGGCCCCAGTGGAGTCAACACAGAAGCAAAACACGCCTCCATCAGAGGCCTGACACACACGTCTGTAAGCTCACACACATTAGACAGAGACCCCTCTTTTCCCTCCAGCATCCCGCTCCACCCGATCCGCTCTACCCCGCATTCCTCTGAAACACCCCCTATCCCCCCCACACACAGACCCACACACACACACACACATCGTCCATACACACAACCTAAACAAGCTGCAATTGAGGGGGCAGTCTGGGAGGGGAGTGCGTCAGGGCCAACGCACTACTGTACAGCCACTGGCTGGACACATTTCCTGCAGAACAAGCTAACTGAACAGGGTGTGTGTGTGTGTGTGTCTGCGTGTGTGTGTGTTTGTGTGAGTGTTTGTGTTGTGGCGATGGAGCTACGATGAAAGACCCGAGATGTTATTCCTGGATATCGTGCCTTCTCTGGGAATGGTCTGTTTGCCTTAACTGAAGACAACATACCCACATAGTCGCACAAACATACTACAGGGGACAAACACACACAGGTTATGTAACTTTGTCTACTTGGCAGGACGGACAAAAACACACACCAGGTAGCTCGAGGAGCCATCCCTACATCAATCAGGATTATGATGCATTAACATGAAAAAAATAACATTTTACATACCAAGAACTGCCACTTTAGACTGCTCATTGTTCATTTAGTCTAAAGAAAAAGAAAAGTGTATTCAAAACGATGGCTCTGAAACATAAAAATAAACCATTTTGAACAGAAAATATACATGTTTTAATGGACGACTTCCTTTTTCCTGTGAGCAGTTGTTGCTTTTGGTCCGTCTCTCCTTGATCTTATGACGACAAACTCGTGAATAGATATAAAATGTGGCTGGTTTACATGGTTACCTGCTATTTCTTACATTTTATCAAAAGAGAACTGAACATTTTGGGAGAAGATGGTTCAAATTTTAAGAATTGGCAGAAAATGTTACCAAAAAGAGACAAAATGTGTGGATAAAAAGAACATCCAAAGGAGTCAAGTTGTAAAAACATGCAATAATTTTTTTAAAAAGGTAAAAAATTTGTTGTATTTTATCCTCCGAGCTGAATTACATAACATGTGGTGAACGAATCATATGCTTTGATGGCATTGATGTTTAGACCTTAACGCAGCAGAGCTTTAAAAACACGGTGGAATAGAAACCACTGCAGATAAAAGCAAAATTGTTAGTATTTTATGGATTAAAGAAGAGTGACATTTCCACTAGTAATTCATTCAGGCTTTGGACCAACTCATACTGCCATCCAGATCTCCTCCTTTAAACTTTAACAGTGTCTTCCTTAGAGGTTATGTAAAATGTCCCTATTCCAAAAGTTTTCACATTTCTATAAAATTTAAAATGAACATCATCACATTTTTAACTGTGGGGTCTTTGATTGAGCTCAAATTGCTCCTCAGGCTGTCGATTCAAAGCTCTTTTTGGTGAAAGCACCAGAGGACAAAAGGCCTTTTAACAGGTTGATTACTATTTTTTTTCAGGAGGAATCAAATTATTTTCCCCTAGATAAGAATTAGCCAATTTCAGTTACCATCACAAATCACTATAAAAAATGTGCATAATTATGCCTCGTTAGTTGTCGTTTTCCATTTTATCTCTGTATTCATTTACCTTCTGGTGGGAAAATAGAAATCCAGTAAGAGTACATGGCTTATTTGCTTTTTTACTGAAAAAGGAAATGTTCCTGTAAGCCCCTTTTTTCTCTGCCAACAGCCAAACCACTCCAGGTGACTCAATTTAGAAAAGTCTTCACAATAGCTCTGCCTTTAAGTAAAGCCAAAACGGCACAAAGCAAACATAAAGCGTTTCTATATAAAGTTACAGTTCAATATTTACCATGAATAAAATTAGGCTAGGTTGGGAAATTTTATCTCCGTCAAGCCTCAACCTTCTACTGCTGGGCTTCATTTGAGTCCACATTTTTACCGCATCCAAATAAATGTGTACTTTCGCACTATTTCTTCTTTCAACCCCCCCGAAGGTTTAGATGTTCTAAACAAAAATTAACCCGATTTGGAACGGCAACAAATCTGGAGGATCTCCAAACTTTTTTTTAGCTTTATTCTGCCACCGACATCATCTTTCAATCTGTTATACTAATAAACTTTATCAGCGTGCGGAGCGTCCATTTGGTCAAAGTGTGTGTGCGTGCAAACCGTCAGGGAGTCTGGAAAGACTGCGAGGATTTCATGTTAGAAATATCCATAAATATTGAAACAAGTTGCCTTTCTTCAAATCTCAGAAATACTGAGCAAATATTGACATGGTGGCAGCCGGGTGGACAGAAGCATCCCATACTCTCACTCACACACACACACACGTGCTTTAAGACAGACTCACACTCGGGGGCTCAAGCTGTGCTCTGAGCTTTCTCTGTTCATACAAGGAGTCCTGGAAAAATTAATCACAAAGTTAAGCCGAGAACAAGCCCCCCTCAGCCACACGCTGAGGCCTGCAGAAACATGAATATGAAGGACTTTGTGACTCAGATTACAGCACAGCCAACACACAACGCCCGGCTTCACCTTTTCGGTCTGAAAAGAGCTCTCTCTCTCTCTCTCTCAGCCCCTGAAATGAAGCCGTGTGTCTTTAGGATTTTCTGCGGAGCGGATGAAGTTTTCATGGATCTGACTCTGCGTGTTTGTGCTGCTCTTGCCCTGCCAACTATAACAGCCCAGCGCCAGCACGCAGGAGGGGAGCTTCATTAAAAACCCAAACGCCGCCCTTACATAACCGGCAGTTGTGTTGGTCCCAGAGCCCCCCGTGCTGCCGACACGCTCCCTCATTCCCGGCGTCGCCTCCCGCCCACGCCTGCTGGCACAGCCGACCATCATCATCCTCCTCTCCCATAGCAACAGCTCAGAGCTCTTCCCTCGTTCCCAGACCAACAGACTGTCTCCATCCCCAGCTCCCTCTTCGTTTATCTGCTCCCTCGGTGCCTGCCGCCACCTCATCTCAAATCATTCCCTTTTTTTTTTCTTTAAACAAATGTCACCATCCAACACTTTAAACTTCACTTTATCTCTGGACAGTGAACAGACAGAAGTTAGGAAACTTTAACTTGAACTATAGAGAGAAAAGTGAAACCATGTCTCCAAAAAAATCTTTAGTTTTCAGGAAAACGCTTTCAGCTCTTTCAGAGGGCAGAGATCTGTGAAGGGACTCAGTTTCCAAATGCTCCAAACTAGAGACAAGAACCAGCAGCAGAAGGTGCAGTAAGTGTAGGAATACAGCAGATGGCAACACAGATTAAGGATTTGTCCTTTAGTGATGGAACAGGATACCAATGTCCTTAAACAAAACTCTGTCCTGAGTGTGTCTGTTCACCCCCTCCCCACGAAACCAAATCCATACAATTTGTGTACTTTCATTTTTTAGAAGTACAAAAGATACTAAAACACTGAATTCTACTCTAGATTTGGATGAGAAACAGCTTTCAACTGTGAGGGAAATCAATATATGTATAATCATTTTCTTCACTTCTCTAGGGAAAGTTTCCATGAGCAGATATTCTGACTGTTATTTGTCTTTCTCATGGGACTCTTTTCTCTTTCAAGGGTCTCAGAGAAAGTCTCCTTATATGCTATCTCTTAATGTTGTGTGTGCAGGATTTTTTGGTACACGTGCAGATATTTTATGATGGGAGACATACTTTACTCCATACTTCAGACTCAGGGAGGGGTATAAAATGCCCTATGATTCAATAAATTTCTCCATTTCCTACTCACTTTTGCTTTAGAATTTCCACAACACAACACCCACTTTCTTATTTCCAGGTTATTTTGTTTGGCTCAAATGTGTCAAAGGAGGAGGCTGGGATATTAGTGCTGACATCACCATCTATATCTTGTTTAAATAGTTCACTGATCTTTGGCCATTAGTGGGATCCAATAAGTGATTTTGATAAACACTAATTTAGCAAATCCAACATGCATTTTAACCTTCAAAGCTTTTCATTTTGACCGTTTTTATTCTTTTTTAAACCTCTGTCGCATCTTGAGGTATCAAGCCAACAACATGAAAAGATGATTTGAAAACCGTCTTAATTCAAGTTATTAGTCATTGAGAAATGAGTTGGAAAGATTTAAATTTTAAAGAAAAATATGGTTTGAGCAATGAACATTTATTGCCGCTGAGCCTAAAGCCGCCCAATGAAGCCTTGTTACATTAACATTTCCACTGAAAAACACAAATAGAAGGCACAAAGAAACTTACAACTATTCTATTTACAGTTAGAAACATCCACACAACTCGGCTATGGAGTCAAAAGTGTATCGGGGAGAAGTCACAGTGGAAGTGGCTGTGAATCTCCTGAGGGCTGTCGTACTCAATCTTAACACAAGGGGGCGCCGAAGGACTTTCTGGAGAGGCCGAGCTGACCTGGGACTGCAACAGCGATGAGGCCGTGGGTGGAGACCCCTCTGGTTCGAGGGGGGGGGGCCGCAGGGTGGACACCGGCGGGAGGGCGCTGGGGGCCGTTTGGGGGTGTGACAGAGCCTGGAAGCTTCCCTGAGACGGGACCTGGTCGGCCCCCGAGAAGAAGGAGTGGAGAGGAAGGCCGGTGGTGGAGGGAGGCTGCTGGTCCTGAGCACATCCCAAACCAGCGGGGAAAGTGGGCGGGGCATGCTGGTGCAGGGATGGCTGACCATACACGCTACCCCACGGGAAGGGCGGGTAGGCCGGTACACCACCTGAGAGGGGGTGTTAAATAAAAATAATAAAAAGGTTCCAGAGAGACAACAGTTACTACGAGAAAGACCTTAAATAAGACATGCACCGAGTTGGGCTGAATAAAATGGCCTGCTTGGAATTTAGTTTCTACTTAGGATTTTCTCTTACTCTTGTTTCTCAATATAATTTTTATTCTTTACCTTTAGGACCGAGATTGTTCGTGCATTCCAGACTGAGATTGTGACAGCCCCCTCCTATCCAGTAGGGGTCTCTAGTCTAGTCCACT